AACAGAATGTAAAAATAAACAGAAATTTCACTTTTTAATCTTATCTTATCATTACAGTATTAATATTTGTAGGATTTCATTGATATTAATCTACGCGCAAGCTAAGGTGAGCAAAATTTTCAAAGAAAATGTAAAGGCTGAATGGTCGAAAATAACTATTTGAAGAGCAACATATTGTGTAATGGGCGGAAGGGAAAACAATATAATTTCTTGATCTAACCAATCATTAGCCAAAACAGTACATGCTTCATAATTGAAGAGAAAAAAGGGATAGAGCTTCCTAAGAAACAGATATCGTACCATCACCATCCATATATCTGGCTCTGCCTCATAAAAAACATGAGAATGCATCTCAGCTTCAATGACCTCACAAGGAGCATCTGGAGAGAAAATCCTGCACGAAACTAATTTTAGGCACTTAATAAATCAATTAGCATAAAATAAAAGGAAGAATATTACTCCCCCCTCCCCTACCCCCTACCTCTTTTTTTCTAAAATTGGCCTTATAAATGGCCTACAACCCGACCCAGAAGAGAATAGAACTATTGATTTAATAGTACCCACCCCAATCCAATACCACTCAAGAAAGGCCTTAACTACCCTTATGCCAGTTCATATTAAAGATAAAAAAAAAAAAAAAAAAAAAAACAAAAAACAAAAAACAAAAAACAAAAAAAAAAGGAATCAGCTTTTGAATGGGACAGAACTTTCTGATTGCCATTAAAACATAATCAGAATTCCTCCATACTTGGTATAAACTATTTATTCATTTAAGGAAAAGAAGTAAAAAAGCGAAAAATGTTGCATATTGTTAGCAAACTAAGATAATCAAGTCACGTGTTCTTAAATACAATCGCCTTTGGACTCCAATATAAAGTATTTCACAATGCCAGTTATCACAGAACTTTCCCTTCAAAAATGTATAGCTTGAAATCATGCTCATATATTACACAAGAAAATTTACAGACCACTTTAAATAAATATATTCACATCTACAGCGGTTAAAGTGAGGTGAAAAATAGTTAACCTTGTGAAAGTGATGAGTCCTTCACTGAGGCCAATAACCGAGAGCTGTGTCGGAAGGGGCAAATCAGCAGGATTGAAGAAGAGAATCTTGTCCAACTCCTGCCCTTCAGTTTGGCCCCTTCTTAAATCGAATACACATAATTTCATTGCGTCACTTCCATCATTCCCAGATGTCAGCCCCATTCAAAATTTCTTGCAATATTAACCTAACAGACGAAACACATATCAGCATACATATAGAAGAAGTAACTAGTAATGTAAAAGCTAATCAACATGGTTTTACCCAGTAAGGCCAATAAAACAACGTCCTTTTCTTTGTTCAATTAATGCCATTTAATTCAATAATTAAATATAACAGGATATTTATGATTTCAATTACTTCAGAATCTGACCTAATTATTAAGAAAAAAAAAACTGAGTAGCAGCTAATCAAATCATAGTATGAAATTACTTCAGAAAAGAAGTTGTGACTACCAATACAATGACCACAGAAAATTAATCAGCTTCTCAGAAAACAAATACGAACATAAATTTTTTTTTACCAAATCGATCAGGATTCGAAGCGGTGCGGATCCGCTGACGGCCGATTGACGACGAAATTAACGGTGGAGAGACTGCCGTCAGCTGACACGAATCGGGTTGCTATCTCCGGACTACGCAAGTTGCCACATCCCATGAAGATTTGAAGCAATTTCAGTTCGGATTCAATGGGAATGGAGGGAGATTGGGGGAAGAATCAGATGAAAATTGGGGAAATTGAAGATGATTGAAGGAGACGACGTCGTTTCACCTGAATTGATTCGGGGCGGGTTCGTTGATGGAAGCCCAACAAGTGAAGATGGATCCGGACTTCTAAGTGTTGGGCTAGCTTTTTAATTTACATTTATGAGTTTTAATTATTTTTAAGTTAATTTTCAATTAAAGGACAGATGTCATGTTATTAGTGATACCTCAGTAAAACGATATTTCATTCATTCTAGTTTTGCCAAAAAAAAAAAATTTAAACTTCACTTTCCTACATTGTACTTTGGCTCGATTTACTTTACCGCTTCTACTCTCGATTGTATCAATTTGTCATCGTGCACTTGTAAAATTTTCTCAATGTGGTCATCGTTGTTAGTTGTCAGACATTTGACATTAACACTGTTTGATCTAAGTTCTGAAATTACAAAAACGCCACATTTCCCAGTTTAAATAACAAAAAAAAAACTAAAAAGAAAATTTAAAAATTCAAGACAACGAGAAAACACAGTCCACGACGCCAGTCACAATTTATTTTTTTATTTTTTTTATAATATTTAAACTGGGATGGGTGGCTTTTTCGTAATTTTCAAACTTAGATCAGAAGGTGTCAAGTTCAAATGTCTGGAAACTAACGCCGAATGCCACATTAAGACAATTTTTCAAGTACATCGAGACAAATCGATGTAATCGAGAGTATAAGAAGGTAAAATAATATCGACTCAAAGTACAAGGAGGAAAGTGGAATTTACCCCAAAAAAAATCCCTAAACTTTTTTTTGTGGGGGTGTTGCCTTTGAACCCCGAAAATTTAAGTTTGACCTGTAACAATATCCTAGACTAGTCATTTTTAGACAATCATTGGTGCCGTTAAATTTTTATGTTATTTTTTGTTTAAAGTTTCTAATATATATTCGATTGTCTGAGTGATGGAATCCTGACTTCGCTATTGCCGTATATGTATGATAGCTAGATTCTAGATGAGGCAAAATGAGGCCAATTAAAGTGTTCTAACTCAACACTTGCCCTAAGGGTCGTTTCAAGTTTTAACTAGATGATCATTGTGAACCCTTCAAGAAGCCCAAACGTTTATTTATATATGTTCATAAATATATATATGTGCACTTATATAAAGTCGACATAAATATTTTATTAATAAATATGGATAATTAGATGTCACACCTTATTATTTACACGAGACGTATTTCAATAGTAGATCTATACATAATTACACACATCCATGTATATGTGTATTTAGTGAATAATTATTTAACGAGATCTATAGTTAAAATACAAAAATCGTAAGTTAGTGATTGTGATCAGTTAAGTTGACATTACGTGCTTAATTCTAAAAGTTAGGGGTATTTGCAAAAATCTGAAGAAAAAAATAAATTTAAATAAAAAAGCAGGTACACGGCTGTTTTTAAAATAATAGTCTAAATCAACTTATTTTAAGATAAGCAAAAGCAAAAATCAGTTTTGCTTTACAAACACCTGAAAACAGATTACGTGAGAAAAAAAGCTCATAATCTATTTTTAAAACTTTTTGCAAACACCACCTGAATAAAAATAACCAGGTGTATTAATTAGAGCTAGCCAAATTTCCTTAGCCGGTGGTTTAATTGCACCCATAATCTCCTAATTAGTGGATTAATTAGTGCATAAGTCATTAGAGTGTAGCACTTTCCTCTCCACTTTCCCAAGTCAAGTGCAACTATAAATCTCTCTCTCTCTCTCTCTCTCTCTCTCTCTCTCTCTCTCTCTCTCTCTCTCTCTCTCTCAGACACACACACACACACAAACACATGCACACATTCTTGATGGATGATCACTCTTCTTCTTGTTTAAGCTGTGAACTAAAAATAATAAAAGCAAAGAATATTGATATAAAAAAATCAGCAAAAGGTGGTGGAGTATTACTATTTGTGAGATGCTATCTCTCTGCAGGAAACACCACCACAAGATCATCAGTTAAACTTGAATCAATGACGTCATCACCGCCGTTGCTGACGTCAGATACAACGACGACAACCGTCGCTTGGAACGAGACATTTTCTCTGGACTGTTCAGGCAGCAAAGAATCCATCGAACGTCTCCGACAAGAAACCCTAGTCCTCGAGCTCCGGCAGAGGAGCGCCGCACCGTTCGTCGGCAGATTACGGGGATCGGAACTCGTCGGAAAAGCTGAGGTCCCGTGGAGAACCTTATTGCCGGACTCGACGGAAAGTATCGAGATTGAGAGATGGGTTCCGATGTTACCGGAAAATGGGGGTGTTGTTAATTATGGTGATGAGTTGCCGGCGGTGCAAATAGCTATGAAAACTAATCGGAGAACTGAGAGAAAGAAAATAAGCGGCGCGTGTGGTTGCGTGGACGGTGGGTGTAGTTATAACTCTTGTGTAGATTATGAGTTTTTCGCCATTGATGCTGCTTTAGAAGTTCTGTAAATTATAATTAATAATTTTACATATATCTATTTATATATGTATGATAGATAAGTAGTTTTACCGCATCGAAATATTATTAGAAAATAAAATTAAAGAACAAATTTATGTTTTTATTAGTTTTTTTCTATGTAAAAAGAGAATATGATAATTTCTTTAGTATGCCAACTAATTATAATAAGTAGTTACAATTGATGGCTATGCAATAACTATTATTATTTTGAATGTTTTTAATTTATTAATTGTGATTTAATTCATGTTAGGGTTTTATGTTATAATTTTTATTTTAGATAAATTTCATGTTAGGTAAGTTAATAATAAAATTTATATTAGGAATCATGACTGATAGAAAAAACCTAAACTAGTAATATTTACATGTTTGAAAATTGCTTTCAAAAAATAATATTCATTTTTTTCATAAATATTAGGCTAACATAAATTAGTAATAGTTATTATTATATCGTACCAAACAAAATTTTTGGTATACGCAATGTTTTGTAGGGCAAGATGGTAACTGAATTTGTTAAACCAAAATTCCGATCGAGTACAATTGCCCTACCAAACTTATCCCTAATAAGTAATAATACATATATTATTCAGATTGAGTATTTGATTTGATATATACAAATTAAAATTTGGATTTCAATGCTTAATTATTCCGTTGATTTTCTTTGAATCGGTGTATGAAAACTACCCCGAAAAACCGGACTCGATGGTACCTATTGTAACTTGCATATGCGCGAGAGTGTTTTGAATTATTGAACCTAACTCAAATGGAACAAAAGTACAAGGGGAATATGGCAAATGAAAGTTCATTAATAATCAAAACCGAAACCGAACTCGATTGTAACTTGCAAATTAAAGTTCATTAACATCAAAACTAATAAGTACTAACAAAACTCTAACATCGACTCTGCTGGGGATCGAACCCAGAGTCTCTGGTTTCGTAGACCAGCGCCTTATCCATTGGGCCACAGAGTCCTTGTTTGACTATTATTAATTTCCTCCCTTAAATATCTACAAATGTTTTTATTAAAGTTAACAATCAAAAATTATTAACACGGATAGAAAAATATTATTATAAACGACTCTGCTGGGGATCGAACCCAGAATCTCTGGTTTCGTAGACCAGCGCCTTATCCATTGGGCCACAGAGTCACTGTTGTTTGTAAATAATTGGTTTAGATACATATAGGTTTAAATATAGATTATAATAATAAAAAAAAGGCAAATTTCACTTTCCACCCTGAATTATGAGAGTGTCGCAAACACACCTCTCAATTACGAAACGTACCAAATACCCCTTCATGCTTGTATTCAATTTTAATAAGATGACATCACCTATTTATTTTTCTTGCTGCTTTTTTTGGACATTTTTACCTACATTGTGTAAGGGTTCAAAGCTTATGTGCACCTTATTTTGGGTAAATTACAAACACCCCCTGAGGTATGGTCAAATTACAAAAACACCCTTCTTGTTTGGATAATTACAACCACCCCCTCAACTCTTCAAATTTAGTGGAATCTTCGAGATTATATGAAATATTATCACTTTTGTACCCGTTTTTTACCATTCAAACTCTACATTATGAAGTAAGATGATTATAATATGTGATTTTTAGCTTGTGTATATCAGTTTGTGGTGCATCGGAAACTGTATTTTTACACAAAACGAATACAAACTAGAGCACATTCCACGGAATCTAGATGATTATATTGAATTTGGCACAATAAGGGTGGAGGTGTAAGAAAAAAACATAGTTGAGGGGGGTAGATGTAATTATCCAAACAAGGGGGGGTTTTGTAATTTAACCATACCTCAGGGGGTGTTTGTAATTTACCCCCTTATTTTTTACCTTCAATTTTCCTCATTTTATTCACACTGGTTCGTTCTGCTCTTAGTTTTTATTCTTAACTTCACATGTCCAGCTCTAATTGTTAGAATGAGTTTAATTATATATAGTAATCCTAAACAATTCATTAGCAACTTGATACCTAGTATCTTTAATTAAATTAAGTATCACAAAATAATAGATTAAATCAGGGTAAACATCTCACTCGATGTAACTCAAACGCCCAAATATACTCATACTCCGTAAACATCCATAATCATATTAACTACAAAAAAAATGATCTGCCATTATAATCTAAAACAATATGCTCAAATTAATAAAATATTAAAATAAGCTAAACAATTAATTAAATAGTGACCCAAGTACTGTTTACAAGATAAATTGAGTTGTAAAAAAACGAAGGAGATAGTGACTTTAATTTGTATTTCTTATTTTGGCTGAAATACTTTTAAGTACTAAAATTCACATATATTTTCATGGACTACAGTTGGGGGTAAGATTGTAACTGCTGAAGAAGACATTACAAAAGTAATGTCTTTATTTTTGTAAGTTTGACCAAAAAAATATAGGGGGGTACTTGATACGTTTCATAATTGAGGGGTGTGTAAGCAACACAATATCTTTACATTTTTTTAAGTTCTGAAATGATAAATGTCGTTTTAATTTTACTAATGTCGTTCTGACTTCGAAAGTGATTTTGACTATTTTCTATTTTGAATTTGGCAAAGTTCAAAAGACGGAAACCGTAGTCCTTTGAGATAGCTTTCCAATACAACATGAATCACCTGGATTGGATGTCGGGTGACAAAGTTATGCATGAATGAGTTACGTTTTAAATTTTACATAATTTAAAACATCAAAGTTGTGGGCAGTGTTCATTAATTCATGCATAACTTTCTCAACCGACATCCAATCTTGGCGATTCAAATTAGATTAGAATGCTAACTCAAAGAATTACAAATTCCATGTTCTGAATTTTGCCAAATTCAAATTAAAAAATGGTCAAAATCACGTTTGAAGTCAAAACGACATTATGAAAACTGAAACGGCATTTATCACCTCCCTTTTAAGTTTGACCTAAAAAGTATAGGAGGGTGTATTTGGTACGTTTTATAATTGATGGATGTGTATGCAACACAATACACAATACCTAAAAAGTGAAATTTTGCCCTAAGAAAATGTAAAATAATGCAATAAAATTGAAAACGACTCTGCTGGGGATCGAACCCAGAATCTCTGGTTTCGTAGACCAGCGCCTTATCCATTGGGCCACAGAGTCTTTGATGACGATATGTCCCTTAATAGCTTACATATCAATAATATTCACAGTGAATCCCTAATTACATCAATTAAAGTAAGATTAAGTGAAAATGTAGTGAGAGATTAATGAAATGAATAAATGAATATTTGACAAATTCTAGTCATTAAAAGCCAGAAGAAGAAAAAACAAAGAAACACAGAGGAATAAGGTCGCTTTGATTATACTTTTCCTTCTATCCAATCCCCCCACCCACCATCGTTTGTTATCATCTCCAAGCAAAAAATAAAAATAAAAATTAATGTCTGCAAAAATCTGCATGCAGTATCATATTCCAAAATCATAGTGGGAACCTTATCATCACCATAAAAAAATAAATTAAAAAAAAAAAGGTAGCAGAGCGAATATGGGGAGAGAGAAAGAGCAGGACCAAGAACAAAAGCAGCAGCCAAAATCATCGTTTAGAAGCAAAGCAGCGCATCTTGTATCTGGTATAACCACTGTTTTACTCAACCCCATCTCTGATAAACCCTCAAGAACTCCACCACCACCATCTTCTCATGTAATAATTTCTCTTTCTACTTTTAAACTGTGTTTTTTTAATTATTTATTTTTGGTGGGCTGTGGTTTGAATTTATTTTTTTGTGTGATTTAGCTGCCAAAATCCATTTTCTGCCTAATTCTTGGCGACCCAATTGAGAATTGTAGGCTGTTTGGTCAGAATTTTAGGGTTTGGTTTTAATTTAGGTCTAAATGCAGTTCCCAGTTCGGATTCTTGAAAATGAATCTAGGGTTTCGATATGATTTTTTGTGTATGTAATTGGTTGTGTATACTGAGCCAAAACCGAAACACAATTTTTTTGGATATGATTGGTTGGTTGTGTATGCTTATGATTATTTTAGTTTTTGGTTTTACTTGAGAGAAACAAATGCCGAGCTTAGCTCGATTGTTAAAGTCGAGTTCCACAGTCGAAATTTTGTCGACTGGTGTTACGTCATTAGGAATATGTTTAAACGGCATCCAATAGTTTATAGAGACGAAAAGAAACAGCATATAACTTTGAATTTAATTATGGTGTCGACTAAGCACAACATTCTTGTTCAAATTCGCCACCGCCCCTTTTCGTTTTTTTCACCACAACATTCTTAGTCTCGGATTTCTTTTTAATTGCGATTGTGTTTATTTCGATAGGATGAATTGAATAACTCCGAAGACAGCCATTCAGATGCAGAGGAGGATCGAAAGGACGATGTCGAAGGTCCCGATACATCTTCGTTTACCGCGTTTCTGTATTCACTCTTAGCTTCGGAATCGCATCGCAACCCTAATATAGATCGAAGAACCGATTCCCGCGAAGATGAGTTCAAGACATCATCGACAGCTACTAAAGAAGACGAAAAAAAGAAAAGTTTAATGTCGAGGGGTAAACAGTCCATCCGTAAAGCATTCAATCAAGCTGCTAAAATCGGGGGGCTTCGGAACCAAGCCCCCACTAAAGGTGGTTCCAATATGCCAGCTGGCGACGGAAGTGGGGACCATGGAATCGCCATGATAACTTTGAACGAGTCACTGTCCTCCTCACAGAATCTTGTGTTACATCTTCCGGAAACTTCTGAGCCGTCTTTGCTTTTGTCTGAAAAGACTCGGAGTTTTCTTTACGCTGCTCTCCCTGTGGTTGTACAGGGTCGGAAATGGGTTCTATTATATAGGTTCGTGATTTTAGAAAGTCTTGATTAATTCATTCGACGAATCAATAAATAATTCTTTTTTTTATTATTATATTTTTTTTAGTACTTGGAGGCACGGTATATCCCTTTCAACTTTATATCGAAGAAGTCTGATTTGGCCCGGCCTCAGTCTGCTGGTAATCTTTCCTCTGCTATGGTAGATTGTTATTTTCTCGTGTTTTTTAAATATAAAAAATGTTCGTTAATCGGTTCAATACTTTAGAATATTTATTTTTATCGTTCTTAGGTTGTCGGGGATCGTAATGGTGCAGTATTTGGCGGCTTGGTCGAGGCACCGTTGAGACCGACGAATAAGAGAAGGTATCAGGTAATATTTGATAATTAAACTTTCGACTCTATGCTTTAATAAAATTATTCGATTCCTCTAAAATAAAAAATTATTACAGGGAACTAATGATTCATTTGTTTTCACTGATACCTCTACACAACCTCAATTATTCCGTCCTACAGGTATACATGTTCTTTCTTGATTCTTTCGCCGGTTATGTTTAAGGATAATCTTTTTATTAATTGAAGATTATTAAGTTACGAGACTTTTAAGAGTTGAAATCTTTCTTTCTTGGTTGGATTAAGTTAAAAGACTTTTTGTTTTCCCTTCGAAAAAATTGACCCGGCTATTTACTTTTAGGATTAATTAAGGCCATCCCTGAGGTAAGGTCAAATTACGAAAACCCCCCTCATGTTTGGATACTTACAACCACCCCTCAATTATGAATTTTCTTGCACGTCCACCATCGTGGTATCAAATTTAGTGGAATCTTTTAGATTATGTGGAATATTCTCCAGTTTGTACCCGTTTTGCCCCATTCGAGATCCACATGTCATAAGATGTGTCTCGTGGCTTGTAAATAGCATATTGTGGTGCATCTGAAACTGCATTTTTACACAAAATGAGTACAAACTAGAGAACATTCAACGGAACGTAGAAGATTATATTGAATTTGATGCCATAAGGATTCATAGTTGAGAGAAAAATGAGGGGTTTTTTCGTAATTTAACTTTACATCGGGGGTGGCCATAATTTACCCTTACTTTTATGCCTATTTAGTGGGTTGCGTTTCCCTGTTAATTAGTCACTAAGAACCGTGATTTACTCGCTTTGATTTTTATCCCTCGAGAAATTTTATCTAGGGTCTTAAGTTTTATTTATTTTTCCATTTATATGCTTCAATAAAATGCATAATCATATTATTCGGTTATGTGCCGACTTCTAACTGCTAACACAGGTGTGAATCGCTATTACACTTTGTGCTCAACGGAGTATTTGGCCATGGGTGGGGGTAGTCATTTTGCACTCTATTTGGACGGAGATTTGTAAGATTTTCAATTGCATTGGTTTTTAATTTCTAAAATTAATTTTTTTTTTCTCTCTTAAGTTTATCGAGCTCTAATTATATCACTTATGGAAATGGTATTAAAATTTAGATTGAGTGGATCGAGTTCGTCTTCAGAAACCTACGATAACCCTTGTTTGGCACACTCCGAAGATTTCGAGGTGAAGGAAGTTGAGGTATTCAAATATCCTTTATTTAAATATTTACAAATTATTTAATTTATCTATATTTACAACTTTTAATACGATTTTGTGCTATATATTGTTTTTATTTTGTGTAGCTATGGGGTTTTGTATACGGTTCCAAGTACGAAGAAACGATTGCCTTGTCACGAACAGAAGTACCGGGCATTTGCCACTGGTAGAGATAACGTTTGATCACTTCATGAACTAACTGAAAAACGACGAAACAGCTGTATATATACATATATATTTGATCGTAAACTTCTGTGAAGACTTTATCGAGACATGTGTTTTTTTTTTTTGTCTCTTGTATATAAAAACCGTTGGGGTTTTGGCTGTTAGAGTGATGCTATTATTCTCTAGCCGTGCTTTTTAATCGACAGTACTTTGTTCGTGTTGCAAGAATTTCGATACTTAGTGCGAGAACTGTGTTATTTTTTTCGTGCAAGATTGCGTTGCGTGAAATATTCAATGAAGACACCCTAAAGAAATCTACATGCTCCTTCCAAAACATAATCCAAAAAATCAAGTTAGGCCTAATGCCACATATAGCGATAGTGGTACATGTTAATCCTCCGTGAAAAAAACCATCTCTAACACTATTATATACTAATTCCAAGATGGCATAAATAAACGAGAATTAAAAAAAAACAAAAAACTAACACTTATATAAAATTAAAGTAACCAATAAAAAAAAAGAATATTCATTAATTTTTATTTATAAAACTAATAAAAGCATAGGTTTTATCATTAATAATAAAAGTCAATTCAAAATTAATTGACAACTAGGCGTAAAACATAATTCCACAAATAAATGGATTGCAAAAAGTTCAAATTCACAGTTAATCAAATATTGGCTCTACGCCAAACCATTTGGAATCGATAGATGAAACTGAAAATAAAAGCTGAACTGATATCGAAATCGTTAACCGAAAACCAACCGAAAAAACCCGACATGTTTAGTGTTCAAAATATGAAAGACCAATATTATCATTATGTGTTTGGTTTTCCGCAAAAATCGAACCGTACCGACCTGCACACCCTTCGTTAACGGGCCGGGCTAGATCGGTCAACGAACTAGTCTCGGCCGGACCCATTCCATGGGGGCATGTTGGGTATTAATTATCATTATTTTCACACCTCTACATATTAAAACTAAAGGCTGGCCCAAATGCAAAATATTTTTTTTTGCTAAAAATAACCAGAAAGCCCAATTCAAAGCTTAAACCCTTCACTCCTTCATCAGCGGATCAACTGGAATCCGCCATTACTGAAAGCTCCATTTCAATCAAATCAGCATTTCTGCAATTCTTCTCAGCAAGCGAGAATGGGAAGCAGATTGGGAAGAAGGGTTGTGAATTTTGCGAACCTACCGATTAAACTACTCATGCCGTCATCTTTCTCCAACATCAAGGAAATTGCCCTAAAAACGATTCCATCTGCTTCGAAGGTTCGGAAATCCAATTTCATAATCAAATGCGTGCTTTTTGCGAAGTGTTAATTTTTATTTCTGATTGTTTTTGTTTTTGTTTCTAATTTCAATTTTGCAGATTGAGATTAAGAGGGTTCTGGAATCCCTGTACGGATTCGAGGTGGAGAAAGTGGAAACCCTAAACATGGATGGGAAGAAGAAGAAGCGAGGCGGGCTTCTGATCGCTAAACCCGATTACAAGAAAGCTTACGTCACGCTGAGAACCCCTCTTTCGATAAACCCCGATCTTTTTCCGATTAAGGTGATTGAGGAAGAGAAGAGGAACATGATCAAGCAGTCGAAATCCACCAGCATTGTTGAAGACCCTGAGGCTGTGAAGCAATCGCATTGGCTGGACGACAAGCGGGAGAAAGTCAGAGTCAAGTCGCCCGAGCGACGAAACTTTGGCGAACGAGTTAGGCGGGGCGGCGAGAATAAGGGTGATGGATCGACTGCCAAGTTTCCGTGGAGCAGCATGAGGCCGTACCGGAGGTAATGGCATTTCGTGTTTTTTTTTTTTTTGGTTTGCCTTTTTGAAAAAGGTTTTTTCAAATGTCACTAGGTGTTTGTAATATTGCCGCACTGAATTTGAAGATGGGATTTTGATCACTGGATTGTGTTCGTAGGTTTATTGGAAGATATTGCTATGAGTGATTTTCTTGATTCTTCCTTCTGTTTTGTTTCCTGTTCGAGTTATGAATTCTTGAATGCCTGCTCTTTGTGTAGGAATAAGTTTTCGGTTATTTATTTCGACTTTGCGATGGTAATAGACGATGGAGTGTTTTAAAATGTTAGTGTTTGTGTCTGATGATGCATATTTTTTTGCCCCGGGAGAATTTATAATCGTATTTTGGATGTTTAAGGACTTACTGGTTTCTTAAGCTAACTCTGTCCGTCGAGATTTTATTAGATTTTCTGACTGGAGCCTAAGTCCTTAATTTGATTTTGGCTAAGGTAGTTTTAAGGTTATTGGAGTAATAACATCTATAGATTATATTGCCTTCTTCTGCATATTGAGCGAAATAGTAAATATAAATTAGTCTAGGGTACGAGACTCTCTAGATATAACGTATGTGAAAAATGGATGATCTTTGAGTACAAAACACAAGATATAACGATGAAAACATAAAATACCAGCAACCACTTCTTCTATTTAAAAAATACAACACTCCTGGAATTCACGCTCGACGATCTTATAAACAATATCTATGTCCCAAGAGGGATTAGATAAATTTCCTAACATTCATGAAATCAAAGAAAATATTTTAATCGACACTATCTAATGAACCTAAACAAATCTGTTTTATATTAAAAAATGACCCATATTACGTTGGCTTTGTATATATTTAAGATTTCTCAGGATAAGGATTGCCTTCGGCGAAAGCTGCCCTTGCCAATATTGTTTGGCCTCTTATTGACTTCATCAGTTTCTTCACCGTCTGTTTTTAAATTGAAAAGGGCCGACTTTCTGATTCTCTGCCATCTAATTGTCCAACCCGACGAATTCCCTTGCTTGATGTTTTGCTTTTGACGTTCCTGTTGTAGGTCTGAGTGATCTCGTTGCATCTCAGCCATTTGTGATTTTACTTTCTCGAGTTCTAGTTTGAGGGCTTTGACCTCTTTGTTTGTCGATAACCAACTACTTTCTTGATCCGAGTTGTCAGCTATTTCAGTTTGACTTTTTCCTTGAACCGTGGCTCTTATTTTCATTTGCTCTGCGAATAGAACCTGTGAATATTATCTCTTTTTATGTCAAAGATTCAAGTTAATTAATTGTAGGATAATTGATGTAACTGCAAATGAAGTAGATTATTTTTTAAGCCTGTATTCTCGTCGTGTATGTTTTACGTGTTTGTTGTGGTCCTTTTCACGTATGCAATATTGGAATCTGAAATGTTAAATGTTGCTTCAATTTTACTAATACAGTTTTGACTTTGAACGTGATTTAGATAGACCCTTTTCTAGTCAGATTTTGACAAAATTCAAACATAGAAACTGTAGTCTTTTGAGTTAACTTTCTAATCCAACTTGAATCAACTAAGATTGGATGTTGGGTGACAAAGTTATGCATGAATTAGTTACATTGATTCATGCATATATTTTTCACTCGACATCCAATCTTGGTGATTCAAGTTGGATTAGAAAGCTAACTCAATGCATTATAAATCCCTTGTTTTCAGTTTTGCTAAATTCAGACACGAAAATGGTCAAAATCACGTTTGAATTCAAAACACTATTATTAAAACTGAAACGTCATTTTGCACGTCCCTATTGAATATAATATAATACGGAAAGCTAATGGTCTATGTTTGTATACTAGAAGGGAAGTGAATCCGTAAATATTTAGTTAGGAATTGTTTGTTACCGAAACAGATTATGTAATTTACCTGGATCATGGTTCTTAGTGGTAACCTATCATTCTGTGCAGCATGTGCGCACGCATCTACTGAAAGCTTCCCACAGTTCATCACTTTGCATAGCCTCCTCCGATCATGGTCCGATAGCGATGGATGAGTCTATAAATAAATCATAATATTAAAAAACTGTCACATTATTTGATCGATGATTAAATAAATCCAACTTTTTTTTTTTTTTTTTTTTTTTTTTTTTTTTGTAGTAGATAAACCTTGAGATAGGTGTCAATTGCTCTGTAGAGGCCATCGTCACTTTTCCGAGCATTTTCAGGCAAGGACTGAGCTAAGAACTGGAATTTAGTTACCGGAAGATTAGGGTCTTTTGCGATTTCTGCTAAATAGTTGTCTAGAAGTTTACTGACAGCTAACGGTCCCGGTAGCAGCTGCTGCTGTTGCTGTTGTTCGTACAGCAAAAAGTATTCCAAAATCCTCTGCACTACGTCTACATTGTGCATGATGTTTTCTTCTGTAGAACTGGACCAATCAGATTTCATTTTAGGACAAGGTTGTCTGCAAAATTATCATAAATTAAATGTTTTTTTAAGACAATTACTTACCTTATCAGCTTTATCTTATTGCCAGCTGTGTAACTAGGAATAAGAAGATCGTTAACATCTGCAGTTTCTAACACGAGCCCCGTTCTCTTTTCTAGCTCCGCTACTAAAGCTGGAGAAGCAGAGTAAAGAATCGCCATTTTTAACATCTTCAATAAAAACTTACAAGAAACCGCTTCCTTTTCCGAAGGTAATAAGCTGACTAGACTCTCTACTATGATTCTCTGCTCTCTGATTGGTCGACTATCCTCCTCTCGTATAGCGCCACCTGTGATATTCCATTGCAACTCGTTTCCTCTTCCTTCTGGCAACCATCTCTCCCCGTAATGGACGATGCACGAACCTATAATCTCGGGTTTTGACCCTCTTGCCCTTAACCCCGTTACGATCCTCGTGAAATAGTCGATTCGAAGAGTGGACATTTCTTCGAACCACCAGTTTTTTTCTCCGTTTATTACTTCGGAAGCTTCTTGAGAAATCTTCCAGGCTATTGAATCGCAGCATCTTCGGACAATTTGAAGATTCTCTGCCCATGGGGACAGAGATTCGCACGATTTTAGGACAGTGATCGAGCCCCCCCAAGAAGAGAGGACCACGAATGTGAAGAAAGCTTCGGTCTTGGAGATTAAGTTTCCGTCTTCTAGTGCTTCTGTCATTTCGAGATATTCTGACGCACATCTTAGGGCTGCCACAGTGTTTACTTTCAAGTTTATCGGTATATCGTAACAGAATTTTAATATTGTTTCAAATGTCTCTGGGCCACCTGGAAGATTATCGAGCTCGATGTCGCAATTGAGATTCGATTTTGGAAATTGAAATTCTACGCGGCTAAAGTAACCGCATCTTGAAATCAGTGGGTACTGTCTCAGGAGAGAATTAGTGAGGTAAGCTTAAACTAATAGATTTTATTAAAAAGGAATAGAAGTTAAGCTAACATGGTAGAAATTCGAGCTCTTGCAATTTTCTGTCAAGAATTTGGTGGTCTTTGTCTTTTTTGCTCTTTTGATTTACGTTCTTTGTTTGTTTTTTTATTTATTATTTACAGCTGAATCTCACATGCGATAACCAAATATTTGTCTTGTTAGAAATATCAAATATGCTCTGTTTTTTTCGGTTACCTTATGAACATAGAATGTGACATCTTGAACTTGAATCGACAGATCTGTTGGAACTTGAGACATAATTTTCCTGCTCAAAATATAGGAAAAATGTGTCGAACAATGAAATGTAAGAGTTTATAGTGATTCAGACATAGATTCACGATCATTTCTCAAGTAAAAACTCGGAAATTTGTCCCTTTTTTTTCCCATGATTAGTTAGGTTTACAAGAGTTAATTGCAAAAAAAAAAAAAAAAAAAAAAAAAGAAATCCTCATCATGCATTTACCATGAATGTTCGTTTTTCTCGAAACTATCTGTTGTTGCATTAAACCTGGCTGGAATAGCTATCCTTTGATCATCTGCTTGATAGATTTCATCAGAGTCACTTGCTGGGCTCTGTGGCTGAACCGAAAGCTTCATCATTTTTCGTTTTCTGTGCTCGTTGCAAATCGGTAATGCGAGCTAATTATTTGTATTTCACTTATTTCTTAAAAAAAAAAACAGAGGGGCTAAGAAAATGATTGTGGACAGTGTTTGAGAAGAGAGTTTGTGGCTGAAGAAGGGTTTGCCAGTTAGTGTGCCATTAATAAGGTTGTTGAGCAGTGATTTTCGAACATCTTTTCGAGCTGAGTTTCGATGGGGTTTCATTTTCAGGGACAAATGAGAATATGAGATAAATGCTTGTCTGAATGATTAGTCAAGAGAATGTTCATTTGTGGGTTGTGACTTGTCCTATTCATTCATATTGAACCACGTATCATCAAACTCGACCGTTGGATTATTGTCCGTGGGTTAAGGGGGTATTTTTGGTATTATACTCTGCTAATCGTATCAAATACGATATATGTATATTCCACTCGGTGTATCATGTAGGGGTACATAACTACAAATTAGTCGAGTACTATGTAGCACGGACACGGAAACGGCGATACGGGGAAACATACACGGAAAATCGGCATGTCCCCAAAATTAGAATACGGGAACTTTGGGGGAAAAGTGTAAATATTAAAAATATAGGTGTATACTTGTAAATATGCTATATAAACACGTATAAGTTATATATATATATATATATATATATATATATATTTCCGTACAAATATATTTAAAATAAATATCATTATCAAGTATTAATTTGCAATTGATCATTAAATCATGTAAATAATTAGGGAAACAACAAAAATATTTGGAAATTTGTTACTCAAACATGTTTCTAACTTTTCAAAAATTGCAAAATGGTTCATATGGTGTCCGTCCGGTGTCCTCGAGCGTCGGACACGAAACGTGTCCGAAACGCGCACACGTTAACAAGTTGAAGTTTCCGCGCTACATAGGTCGAGTAGACAAGTACCAATCCTTATTCTAATAGTTCTCTTAACGTAGAAACAACCCAATTTACGGAATCCTAATATGATTTTTCTATGATTATATATGAATATTAGGAATATTTCCTGAAATAGCAAAATCGGACTTTTGGGAATCTAAACGATGTTGAAAGTTGAAACACCAAACTTTGACGTGATTCATTAGCTTTGCTCAAGAGTTTTGTTCTTTGAGCCATTTTGCTTGAGATAACTTCATTTCAAATTCAAATACGAATGTTATTCGAAAACCCCTCTTGTATTTCCATACATTCCCATTAATAATATTC